GGGGGGGGCAGAATGCATTCTAGGGAAGTGCCCAGCAGAGCTTTTTTCCAGTTTTTTTCTTTTTTTGGGGGGGTTACCCCCTCGTATTCACATCCTTGCTCTGCTGCTTCCTGGAAGCCTAGAGTAGCAGGTGTCTTTAGACTTTTTCTGACCTCACAAGAAAGAGGTGAGAATTTCCCACATGTAGTAGGTGGTCAATAAATTACAGATGGTCATGGTGGATGGTGGTCCTTGAAGGGGAAAAATAATATTCAAACTCTTCCACACCTCTCCTCCTATCAAATCAAATATTTTTTTAAGACCTGGGTTGGGCCAGACTTCGTCCTCCTCTCAGCACCTTCTGCATTTAGTATTCATCCCCCCTCCACTGGCCATGGGCATGCCCTGACTTCATGCTGGTATATGACATTTCTTTTATCACCCTCAAATTACCAAAACTCAATTCATTGATCAGATCATCACTCCACCCACTTTCTAGTCCTCTAGACCTAATCTTAAATCTCACTCCGGCAGAGAGGCGTTTTCTGACTTTGCTCCTCCCCCAGTTTACCTCCCAGCCTGTGGAGCACTACTTAAAAAATAAAAAAACAACTTTGTAGTTTATTATTGTTGAATGAATAGGACATGGAATAAGAAAGGCTGAAGAAGAACTGATGCATTGGGATTATGCTCCTGGGGAAGAATACTGTTTTAAACCACCAGCCACTCCATGGGAGAAGGATGAGGCTTTCTACTCCCACAGAGAGTCTACTCTGCCCTATGGGGTCGCTGTGGGTCTACATCAACTGGATGACAGTGAGAGACCAAGGACTCCCGGAAGAACAGACAATCTGTCTTGGAAGAAGTAGTCCACGTGCTCCTTAGGAGCATGGAGAGCAGAACTTTGTCTCACGGACTTTGGACATGTTGCCAGGAGAGACATTATGGTTGGTAAAGTAGAGGGGCGAAAATAAAGAGGAAGACCCTTGACAAGATGTTAACCTAGTGGCTGTAACCATGGGCTCTGACGTAAGAGCAGATGGGAGGATGGAGTGCGACCAGGCAGTGTTTCATTCTGTTGTGCATAGTCGGGTCGCTATGAGTTTGGCTTGGACCCAACTCGAGGGCATCTAACATTTGTGGAACGTTTGTCTACCACTGGGAGGTCCTTCAATGAGTATATCTGCTTTCCTCTTCTTTCCCTGAGCTACCATGTGGGTATGAGGGTGTCTAACCAATAGTGGTTCAACACATGAATGGAGGGATAAGTGAGTGGCCAAGTGCAATACCGACCATGTTTAAGAGCTTAGACAGTATGTGCTGCTCTGTATGTAAGAGGATCTCAGATTTCCTGTCAGCTCTGAATTTATTATTTAATAGGATAAGAAATGTGAGGTAGGCAAAGGGTATTTATAGAGCTCTCGATAAAGACATGTACATATACAAATATATTATATGAGGATGGGGAAATAGATCTATGAGCCTACATTTATAG